TTTTTTTTTTTTTTTTTTTTTTTTTTTTTTTTAGTGTCTTCTCCCCTTTCTAGAGGCAGACGTAACTTTGCTCTGAACTTAGAGGGATCGTTTTTGCTTAACCACCGAAAGACACAGCAAGATTTTAGTTCGGGGCATGATGTGAAGGATACATTACACAAGTGCTTCAGGACTTATTTCAAGGTGTTGATTTAGCACTGAAACCTTCTACGTAGCCCATAGTCTGGGTTTGTGATGGCCATAGTATAACAGCTGAGATCAGGTAGGGCTCTTGAGCTGAGTGACCTGCTGAGATTGCTCCCCAGCTGGGGATGGGACTTGCTTCTCTTTGCTGAGAAGCTGAAGCACACGCCAAAGGCCATATTTTCCATAGAACTGATGGGTTTAAGCACAGGTGGGAAGGGGAGGAGAGGTGTCTTGGGAATCTATGTGTTCAGTAGGTAAGGAACCACACACACTGCTCTGTGTAGGGATCCCGATACCTCATGTTTGCGTCTCACAAACAGAAAAAAGAAAATAAATGATTATGTGATGAAAAATGTATTTGAAGAAGCACGTTCTTTATTTCTTCCAGGAGCAACCTCTCTTTGCCTGCAGATGTTTTCATAGTTAAAGTCCAGCTCACTAGCTGCATGTGTGGCTGGTTATTGAAAGGAAAATTTACAAAGTACACAGCGCAAGGAGTACCAAAGTATGTCACAGCTGAGGTCTTGGAAATAGGCTCGCAGAGCAAAATATGTCATGGCTCCTTGGAAATAGGTTCACACAGCATAACCCGAAACATTTTATCAGCCTGAAGGTATGTTTTGAAGCAAGACTTTCTCTTCCCTGGCCAAAGGAGGACCCAAGAGGTTCCCAAATCCCATATAAGTCAGAAGTGCATGGCTGCTCCTGGAGATCAAACCCAGCTGCTGCTGCTTTCTGACTTTTCAAAAGGATTTAGCCAGTGAATTCACATGAGGATAGATGTCTTAGCTCCACAGCCAGCCTGATTTGAGACACGAACAAGCCTTCATGAATGGAGTCTCTTGTTATTGCAACGTTCAGGGCTGTGGTGGAGATCTGTCTGCCTGGTGGCTTCGAGCACATGATGCTGCCTGCTTGAGCGCCAGCCCGTGTCAGGTTGAGTGTCACCCACTGGGGAGCACTTAGTGCAGTGGCTTCTTCATCTCTGTCATGGGATCTGTGAAATCTGCCCCCTGAGCCTGGGTAGGCAGCTGATGACACCAATATTGATTCTATTTTCTCAATTTACTCTAATCCCGTCCCCTGTTGAGCTATCTAAACTAAATCGGAAGGTCTTGCCAATCCTCAACAGGCTCATCTACTTTCATTATTATGCTCTGTATTTCCTCCTTGTACAAACCAAACCCTTCAAGGGCTGCAGTCTTCTTTTTCTACATTAGTACAGCACAAAAGAGCTCCAGTCTTGGTTGCTCTTGAGGCTGCCGGTCTCACTAGTCATCACCAAAATGTACAAACATTGCTGCAACAGTTACTTAGCTTTCCTTTTTTTCATTTTAAAAATACATTTTTAAACTAGTTAACCAAATTATTTTCTTAAATTTCTGTAGCAGTGGTTTCATTTTCACCATTTTACCTACTATCTGGATAAACTTACATTTATTTACAGAGTAAGCCATAGCCAATTTTATCAGGGCAAAGTCAGTTTACTCTGCTTTGCAGCACAACACACACTGTATCTAGAATATAGTACTTTTTATTTCTTCTTCTCAGCAGCCAAAGGTTAGAAAGAGAAGTTTGTTGGGATAAGCACCAGTATTCAAGTCTCTAGCTGCAGTGTTGCTCTGGTTGCCCAAATTTTGTTATAGTCTTCTATGCCTTTCACCAAGAACTGCAACCTCCTGCAGATTCTCTGGTCATTCTTGGTGGTAAGTCACGGGGCACATCTATTCCAGCTAGGCCTGATGGACACTAAAGCTTACGATGCACTTGCGTAATATCTATATTAGTAAATTAAACTTGCCTAGGAAATCAGGCCATCTGAGGCCACAGAGGTCCATACTATTAAGCTTTCTCAACCTCCAAAACATCATGACTACATATAAACTGACAATCGGGAATTGTTCCTGGCCTGGGCTAACTACCAAAGAGAGCTAAGGAACTGGGAGAGCGTTGTTTGGCCAGTGCCAAAAGCGTGCCAGGGACTGCTCAAACAATTTGGGGCAGAGATAAGCACCTCCCGCTGCCTCGGAACGCTCTCTGCCATTTGCTAATTTACTGACATATTCGTTGCCTTACTCTAATGTGCATGCAGATTGCCACATTTTTGTCTTTTTAAATTTTTTTTTTTTTCATTTCTCTGCCTGTTCTCCTTCGGACACAAGTGCCAAAGAGGGCAGATGGCTCACCTGAGAGGTAACCACCAGCACACAGCACCCGCTGTGTTAGATGTGGGCTCCTCAAGCTGCAGTGTGCTGTGCAAAGCAAAGTGCTGGGGACTCAAAACCCTTGGAAATTAATCATTCTCTGTTAAATATTGTTTTTATCCTTCCCATGTTCAATCAGGCCTTCATTTATTTAGAGACAGAGATACTTATAGCTCCCTTCTAGTGGACTATTTCTGTCTCCTCTGCTTTCATCACTCTTATGAAAACTACAAATAAATGTCTAATTATTATCAGATGTTTTAGAACAATATAAATACTTATCCCCAGAAAATTATCTGAGGAAACATTATTGGCCTTAGCTGTTAGGAGAAAAAGCCAATTTTGTTTTCATTTGGCAGCAGCTTTATTCTGTTACAAGACCAGGCACAGGCTTTGCATTGTTTTATATATTTTGTAAGTAGTGATTTAATGACTTGACTTGGTGACTTTTTGTTCAATTTTGCTTTCTTCCCCCCCAGCTTTCTTGGCTACCTTTGATGTTCACAAGTAAGTGAATATAACTTTCCTGACTTCCTTGAACTTATACTGATTTGTACAGTTAAGGATATTATTGTATATAATATAATATTTTGTAGATATATAAAAATACGTTATATTTACAAATTTCCATTATGTACTAGCTTTGAGCTCCATCCAGCCCATTAGATCTCGGCTTAAACCAAGAGAAGGAGCTCCTTTTGCATTAGGGGAAAACACCTACTGATTCTTCCTTTTGTGGTGAGCAGCTTGATGGAGCACACAGACCTTGAGCCCTGCATGTGAAGTACTCAAAGAAGGGATATCCTGTCTTACGTTAAAAGAAATGCTAACATTTTTCAGTTCTGTATCTCTGAAGTGTGTAATTTCATAAAAGGATAATATGTTGTACCTTATAACATCCCTGCAAGGTAGGAAGTTACATTACACCCAAAATACAGCTCAGAAAACCAAATAATCACCAAGTTAATAGCTGAAGTAGGACTATATTTGACACCAAAAGGTTAAATTTAATGAAAGTAACCAGAAAGTCCATGAATTTTTGGGAGGATAAAAGCGATGTACCATGTTTAGATTAACTGTGCTGTTTCTAATTCCTAGAACTTTTCTTGTTTTATAGAAAAGATGATTTTCCCAAATGCTTATGGAGGTAAAGAAAGTGACAGAACTCATTACCACAGGAATGAGGTTTTTTCCAAGGTGTTTCTTCATGTCTTAAGATTTCAAATGGTTATAACGTGCTACTTTGTTGGAACAAAGACAGGTAGCATGACAGAAACAGGGGATCTGAAGGACCATCCCAATCACAATTTTTAAGGTTGAAAAGTAGGTTGGTTAAATACCATCTGATTGAAAATTCCATCACTTTTATTTGAACAAGCCAAAGGTCATCCTTGAAAGAGGAAAGGAATGGCAATTGGTAAGAGTTTGATGTGGAAAAGGGTTAAGCATTCCAGCTTATAACAGTCACCCTAAATGTTGCAGTCATCGTTTGTCAAACTGAGTTCCACCCAGAGAAACAAAATTCATGGTGACAGCTTTAGAGCTTTTTTTTTTTTTTTTTTCTGAGAAAAACAGCTATGGAAAAGAAGCAAATAAAAAGGGAGGTAAAAAAAGATGGATTACATGTATGTGTCTCTGATATTTTATATCCAGAGACGATGTTGAACATGCTTAACCAGCCATTCCAAATACTAATTTATCAAATTTGGTGCCATGCTGGTGTCTAGGAAAATCTTTATTATTTAATTTTTTTGTTGTGAAAATATGTTTGCCATGATGTGAGAGCTTTTTCAAATTTTGGTTAACTTGAGTTCTGCTGAGGATTAATGGAAAGAACACTTAACACTGCATGGGATAGAATCTGAGCATTCGTAAGAGGTATCCTCAGCTTATGTATCGGATTTTGTGTGCACAATTGACTCACACTACAGAAGAGACTTTGCTCATTGTGGGTATTACAGACATCCTTTTTGACAGCTAACTGTACAACTGTACAATAATGAGGAACAAACATATCCAAGCGATCTCTTCTAGAAGCACATTCAGATGCTTCTTTGGACCTGGGCAAATCTTTGGTTTGCAGCTTTCTCTTCCACACACACATTTGGAAGAAGGGCCAAATGTAACCTCCAAACCCCCACATTCTTTTTGTCAGCTTTATATAAACATAATAACAAAGAAGTGTCCCCTTGTATGTTTTGTGCAAACGAAATAGCACATGCAGAGTTATTTCTCTTAGATATCTGGCAAGGCATATGACCGATGGTTAGAAATTTTGACTTGGTTAAAACAAAATTTAGCTCATGTTAAAGCATTAAAGAAATGCTGATGAGGTCAAAGCAAATTCTCTGATAAAGCTGTAAAATCACCCCAACACACAAACATGTCTGAATCCTGCCATTAGGCTCTCATGCAGTCTGTTTCTCTGCAGCGAGCAAGTAGCTGTAACCCTTCAGTGCTGCAACTGAGTTCAGCAGAGACACTTGAGAACCGAAGTGACACGCACAGAATGCACTAATTACTATATATAAGGGAATTTCAGTTCTACATCGTTTTTTCTATATCACCACAGAAAGTATTCTGTGGGTTTGTTAGCCTGTCCACAAAGAAAGATTTCCATCGTTATATTTTAGATATAATTTGGGCCAGTGGTGTGGTAAAACAGTTCTGTAAATCAAGTGAATAGAATGTATATATGTATATTTCACTTCCTTCTGCAGGTTCCACCTATAGTAGGCTTTGTCTGTGTGTCAGATGTAGAGACTTGGGAGAAAAATACGTCATGTGAAATTTTCTGACCACAGTGTTTAATTATATATTGGGCTATTAAAGCCTGTTTCCAGCTGAAATGTTTTCCTTACGAAGCCAGAACTGAAAGGGTTATGGTTTGTTACTGCAGCAGTTATCAGCAGACAGCCATCTAACCTTTGGTACTTACAGGTATTTTATGGCTCTTGATCATATTATCAAATTCTTCATTAATTTTTTTGTATTTTTCTTCAGTGCGTGGGGTGAGAGCGTAAGAGGAGTCAGGATCGGGGCTTTCACAACCTTTGTTTTCTTTCTTGTTCAATGCCTGCCAGGTTCAGAGAAATATCAGAAAGTAAAAAAAATGAAAGGGAGCGCAGAGTACTTACACATAATCTTTGCCTGCTGATCATTAGATCAATATCTTCATTAATTTTTCTGTACTTGTCCTCAGACTCAGGGCTGTGACCTACTGAATCGTCTGCATCGGGGTCTGGACTGTCACAGCCATTAAGTCCTTTCTTTCTCAACGTCTGAAATACATAATTTGGAAAGTTCAATCCTTGACACGGGCTGCAAGAAAGACTCAGCAGTGTTAGAGCAACACGAACTGCCAGCAGTGGAAGGTTTTACATTATGCTTCAGGGAAAGAAAGCGAGTAGAGATCCACCACGTTGATGCTGTAGGTCTCCAATTATGAGTGGCAAGAGAAGACCACACAGACCTCTTTCTTCTGAAACCAGAATCAGTCAATAAAGAACAAAGCTGGCAGTCTGGCAAAGTGCCTGTGCTGGTACATCCCCTCCCATCGTATCCAACAGCATTAACAGGTTAAGACACCCACCCAGAATGCAATTTATTTTAACATATATATCCATCTGAAATGAATGAACATTAAAAGCAAAGGATGCAATACTCTTTACAGTGCAAGACCACAGTGTTTTCTTCTTCCCTAAAGAAAGATACAAGAGGAAGAAATGAAAAAAAAACATCAAACCCCCAAACAAAGCACCTGCAACAAATTTAGGAATTCGTGTTTGTCAGAGAAGGAGGAGGAGGAGCACCTATATTGAATTCTTCCTTGGAAGTGACTGTAAGGGATGACATTAGCCGTGCCCTGATGTTCCTAACAATATGCTTTTGATAGGACAAAGGGGAGGATGGAGTTGCTAATGTGGCCATGAAATACCAATTAAGAGCTTCTAGACATGGTGTTTACTTTTTATTGACTCCAGTTACAGTGCTACAAATGCACAGTGCTGAAGCTTAATGTACAAGAAAAAGCACTGCTAAAACAGATGCTCAGTGAAAAGTCAAAACAGATGAATTTCAGGTTCATCAGCTCAAATCAACTCTCACAACCATGATCATCATCACCAAGATAAATTATGGAGATGAAAAAACTTAAAACCAGAATGAAATCAGTAGGTAACAATTCAGAATTGGTTGCCTGGCCTCAAGTAGGTTTTAACAGGCAGGATGGAGCTTTGAGCAATGGTGTCTCTGCCCACCACATCACCAAGATAAATTATGGAGATGAAAAAACTTAAAACCAGAATGAAATCAGTAGGTAACAATTCAGAATTGGTTGCCTGGCCTCAAGTAGGTTTTAACAGGCAGGATGGAGCTTTGAGCAATGGTGTCTCTGCCCACCACAGCAGGTTGGAACTAGATGATCTTTAAGGTCCCTTCCAGCCTGGACCATTCTATGATTCTACCTCGACAGATCACCAAAGAACAGTCATTGGATGCATTAAGGTAGAAGAATACAAGAAACAAGTGTTTGTGGATGCCCCAACTACAAGCGGAGTCAATATTTGTAAGATTTCTCAAATTTAGCTTTAAGAACTTCTTAGTCAAAAACTCCTCAAAAAGTCCATTTGGCTTGTTACTACTTTACCAGACAGCTTGCAGTTAATTCTGAGTTGAAACCTGGCTAAGCAATCTCATTTACAACACACAGACACATAGCACTCTTGTGTTAATAAGTAGCTATGCTTGTGCTGTGTATTAGTGTGGGATGCTCCAACTGGTTTAATTTTGCCTTCTCAGAATGGCTGCCTCTCATATGAGCTTTGATAGGACAAGGGAAAAGTACATTTCTGGAAAAGTACATTTCCTAATTATTTGCTTTATGGCAATGTCCAGTTTAGTACCATTAAAGTGCTCAAGTATTATAACGTCATACCGGGTTTCTGCACTGTTGCATTTATTTACTAAAAATCAGACTAAATTTTCTGCATTTTACCTGAGACTTCAGAACAGAGCTCTCTTATTCCTGCAAAAGCTATAAAGCTGTTCTCCCTTGTGAAGACCCACCCCTTGAACCTCACATTTTCAGCAAGTCAGCAAAGTGATGGTGATCTGCCCTAAGAGATCCGAGCCTTCCAAACTCACGGTGTGGACCTCTGAAACAGGCACTGGCAGCTGGGGAAGGCTGGCTCAATGGAGATCTCTCCTTTCAAACTTTGTACCTACACAGATTTCACATCTAATCCCATGAGCTACAACTGACACATAATTATAAATACATTTCAATCAAACCGTAAGAAGCTAAAACAACCTGAATGATTCTCTACACTTCTCCACTCCCTTTTATGTCTTCTTTTAGTGTTAACTATTAGAACTGACATAGTCAGTTGTATGATTTCTATGGCTATAAGCTTGAAACAAGCCAATTATAAAGAGGGCTTTTGCAATCAGCTCTTGCTTGATAGATTTAATAGATAACATATGATATAAAACATGAAATTTCACTTTTCCATCTGAATAACTGATGTTCTTCTCTTCATGTAAGTACAAAACAGTTGTCCTTTGAATACATAAAACATTCTGTTTTCAAGATCCATTGGATCAAGCTGTCCAGATGTGAAATCCAGATCAGCACACCTGGGACCTTTTCTCGAGCTCACTGGAGTCTTGATGGACTCTCTGAGGAATGATGCTGACGTGAGCTGGATTAGATGGTGTCCTCAACTCCAAGCTTTGAGATGAAAGTCCAGCCCCTCTATTTACAAATGGCAGTGACCTTCTTTTTTTTTCCCAGAGGTTAACACAACCGCAACTGAATGCACATAGGTGAGGGCAGGGAGCTGCACAACTGTTACCCTACCCTACGAAGAGCAATACGAAAAGACATTCACAAGACCATGTCTGGGTAAAAGAAGATGCTTTCAGCCTTCAGCACACTCACAATGCCCTAAAGGTCTGCAACTGTCCAGCACAGTTGTGAAACTGTCACTTCTGAGGTTTGAGAAGTTCAGGAATCCACTGCCATCTTTCAGATGATCAGAGGAAGAAAGGCAACGTAACCCATTGAATGTCTTGCAGCAGTCTCCAAAAAGAGACCAGATTGCCTCCCAACATAATAATGCTTTTATTTTCGTAAAGGTCATAAATTTCATTTCATTTCATTTTTATTTTCATATCCTTACAAAGCAGGTTGCTGCTACACCGGGTGGAGAACAAGCAGTCTCGGTTTTCATCAGAAAGACCCAATTTAGTAAAATCATTCAGGAATTCTACCCAAATTTAACTTTAGCCCTAAAGAGTAGAGGCAAACCTTTCCCTTGAAAAACCTGTCAACCCAGTGTATTTGGCTGGTACCTTGGCTGATCACTAATGCAGTGCACTTCTTTTCTTTCCTCCCACTTCCCTTCCTCCCTGCCTTGCAAAAAAAAAAAAAAAAAAAAAAAAAAAGAACATGCTTCAATGAGCTGGGGTAAGGTTAGGCAACAGAAATTTCCACGAGCGTGCTGCAGCCAGAGGCACAGCTCCTAGCTTTCTGAGTGCTGGAACTAATGCCTGGTTCTCTGTGAATTGCATTTTGGGGTAAAGTGCACTATACAGGGAAGCCTTTGGGGGCTGTGTCTCTCGGGGCTTCTCTTGCCCCCTGCCCATCCTTCTGCTGATTCTTTGTTCCTTCTGCGTGTAAGGACTCAGGCTGCAATGCTGCCTTCAGCTGGGAATATTTCTGGGAGTAATTTCTGGTTCTCTTTTTCAGCACAAGAACATATAATTTTCATGAAACTTGTTGGAATCTCATTGTCTGTGAGACCCCTCCCTTTGCGTCAGATTTGCTTGGCACTGAATAAAAAATGAAGAAGTTACAAGGGAAAAGACAGAAGAACAGACTGAGAGACTGCACAGGAACAAGAACACACACACACACACGCAGAGAGTCCTCCTCCGGAGAGAGGAGCAGGCTGAAAGCAACATACTTATCCTCTGCACTAAGGTCCTGAGTGTTATTTAGGACAAATATAATGATCTTGAGCATCTTTGCATTATCTCTGGCTTCTCAACATGCAGTTTTCCCTGTTCTATTGCCTTGTTTGTTACTTTACTCTCCTCCACATCATTACCTACCACATTATACCTCTCAAAAAGGTCCTTAATTGTTGTGCTTCAACAAATGCCATACCTGTTGATCCAGCACAACTAAAAGGAGCACTGACCAATACCTAAGTGCTCCATCCCTATTCACGAGCTCTCTGGATTCCACGTCAATTTCTCCTCCACTCTGTGTCACTTCTTGAAGCAGAGGCTGATTCTGGACATTCCTGGAGCTATTAAGAATCACAGAATTGTAGGGGTTGGAAGGGGCCTTTGGAGATGATCTGGTCCAGCCCCCAAGAAGGCCAACGGGGTTTCAGCAGGCTAGAGTCTTTCACCCAGTCTTGCAGTGATTTAGAAACCGTTTTTCTTACCATGTTAAGCTGTCACAGCCTCTTGCAAACCCTGGAAAATAGCCAGACCTATCGCATCCTCCTAGAGATTAGCTAGTTTCCAAAGATTTAATGACTATTCAGGGAATATTTAAGAGGATAAAATTACACAATTGTATAGTGCATTGCATTCTAGAGAAGCCCAAGCCAGATTTCAGTTATTTTTAAAGAAAATAAGCCATTTTTGAACTACGGAAGCTCTACTTCTTCCAAGCAATTAAACAAGTAATTATATTGGACTCCAATAACCTAAAATCAGCCAAGGCATTTGAAAAAAAAAATGGTTAAAGGAAAACAACCTTTGGCTGAAATCTCATATGCCAGCAATTTAGCCTAAATCCCGCTCTATAAATCTCAGAGGAGAAGTGCTGACTTAGTGACATACTGGCTGCTGTTAAATGAAGTATAAACAACTATTTACTTTCATTTCATGCAAAATTTATCATCACTACAAAAGCACAAAAGAAAATATGGCACTACCAGCCAGGTCTGATTTTATCAAGGGTATGGAAATCATTGCAATTTGAAGGCTTTTGAGGAGGAAAAGCTTTTTATTTTCCTAATCCTGTCTCTGTTTCTGCAGTATTATTCTCTTCTTTTAGCATTTCTTTAATAGGAAGAGTGGAGAAGGTTAGGAATTCAATTTTTTTTAATCCTATCCTATCCTATCCTATCCTATCCTATCCTATCCTATCCTATCCTTCTGTTTGCTCATATTTGTAGAGGGGTTATCGTCTTTCTTTTTAGTAAGTACATCAGCTGTGGAGCTGCTCTACGTTAGGGCTTGAGAAGCCACAGATATTTGG